GGGGGGGGGGAGGGGGACGCGGCGAGGTCGCCTCTGCACCGGGGCCGGATCCCGCGGTGATCGCGGGGTGGCTCAGCGCCCCGTCCCCGCAGGGGAGTACGTGTACCAGTTTCTGATGGAGTGCTCGGAGCGGAACGGGACGCGGCGCTACGTGCTGAGGTACGTCTACAACCGCGAGGAGTTCATCCGCTTAGACAGCGACGTGGGCGAGTTCCAGGCGGTGACCGCGCTGGGGCGGCCGACAGTCGATCTCTGGAACCATCAGAAGGGCATCCTGGAGCAGGCGCGGGCCGAGGCGGACACCGAGTGCAGACACATCTACGAGCTCTACGAGCTCATCCCCCCGCAGCGCCGAGGTGAGCGCCCGGGGTCACCAGGCGAAGTGCAGGCGGTCGCCGCCCACCGGACTGGCCGGGGAGCTTGGGGGGCTGGAGAGGGTGGGAGGACCCAGGTGGGGTGACGGGGAGCAGAGCCCTGGGGAGACTGGTCCGGGCAGCGAGGGCGACTCCTGGCCAGGGAGGAGCGCACAGTGAGGGCAGGCGGACCGCAGACGTCGTCGGCGGGGGCGGGGATGGGGGGGGTCTCGGGCCCTGACCGATGCCGGCCAAGCTCAGAGAATAGCGCGGCGGGAACTGGGGCTACCTCCGAGCCCCCCGGGGACGCAGAGGAGAAACGCTGGTGAGGAAGGCGGTCGTGCTTGAGTTCTCAAGGGCACCCGGACAGACGCCTGGTGGGCGGGTATGATGACCCAGATGAGACCACCGCAGTGAAGGGGGCCAATAATGAGAGCAGGTGCTAGGAGAAGTTGAGGCAGAGAGGGCGACCGGACAGCACAGCAGCCAGTCCCAGGACTTGGGAAGATTAGTAAATACAGATTAAAATGTGAGAACCAGAGGGACGCTGGGAAGAGCCATGGCACCGAGGTTAAGAAGGCTAGATTCTACAGGGCTAACTATGGTTTGAGTCCTCTACCCAGAGGTGTGACAATCACACCACACGTGCACATGCGTGCCCAAAATCCCAAGAAGAGAAGGGAGAAGGATTGTCAGGGCCATCCCTCCAACAACCTCCCCTGGTGGGGGGGGCGACGGGATGGGGGACGATCTCTCTCTCTCCCTCTCCCCCTCCCTCTCTCCCTTCCTCTTTTTCTGGCAAGTCCCCACACACTATGTCAAACTAAAATGAAAGAGAGAAACTGGACCACTGGGCTGAGCAGTAAGGGGTGGATGGAGGTGAGTGTGGAGCGCTGGCCACTGGGGCTGAGATGGATTCCTCACTGCAAGGAACTGTTCTATTCATTCAGGAAGTCTAAGTAAAAAGAGAAGAGAGGCGAGGTGTGTGCACAGTCCAGATACTTTCCAAGGACCAGAGAGAAGAGCCCTGGCTTCTTCCCATCAACTTCTAGAGAGGGGACTGGGTGCCCCAACCTGAGGAGGCCTGAGGGAATCACAGTGACAGGTGGAGAGTGAGTCTTAACTAAATCAAGGACCCTGGTCACAGAGAGGGAAAGGATGGGGGAGAGGTGTGAGCTGTCACAGCTTGGACCTTTCTTTTACTGGGGAAAGTGGAAGGCAAGGTCACCTGCTAAGAGCAAGATGGTGGATAAGTTGGGTGGGAATTAGGAGTGTGGTGCGGGTTTAAGAAAGGTGCTGAGGGGACCAGCAGTTGGCCTAATGGCTGTGTCACTGGACTCCCATGTAGTCAACCGCGGTTCAAGTCCCAAACACGATGGCTTAAACTCACACCGGGCGCGTGTGTGTGCGTGCGTGCCCAATATCCCGAGAGGAGAATGGAGGAGAAGGGATTGCGGCATGGCCATTTCCCCTGGGGGCTGATTTCTCGCTTTCTGTCTCTCTGTCTCTCTCTGTCTTTCTGGCCAGTGCATGCACCCTATAGCAAAAACCTCTCCAAAAGAAAAAAAAAAAAGAAAAGTGCTGAGTTCCTTCCGCGTGGTCGCTGGGGAGAACCTGCCACTGTGCTGACCATGCTCTGCCGGACACGCTGTCCATGAGAGTGGACAAAATTTTAATAATCCTACCTTCTCCTGACGCACTGGATGTTGCTCAGAGGTTTGGACCAACTTTCAGAAGGGGTAGAGAGTTTGACTGAGATGGATCAATTTTAGAACTTTTGGTCTCTTTTTCCATGAAAAGAAAAGATACTAGAATTTTGATGGAATATTTGTATCAGTGACAGAGATAGCCCTTCATTTTGATGAATTTTGAAAAAGTGGTCATCTTTGTAAAGCTATAATTTTAGAAACCTCTGTATTTGTCCAGGATTAAGAAAATGAATTCGTTTTCATTGGCTGGATGGCTCCTGCGATCTAGCCATTTTTGGGGAAATGGAGAAATGAAGAGGTCCCACTGATAATTCGGCCTCCAGTATAGAAAACTCGCATAGAGAGGCAGAAGGAAACAGAACAGCCCTTCTTCAAGAACCAGCTCCATGACTCCTGCAATCTAGCCATGTTGTGCCACGTGGTTTTCTGAAATTTTTTTAATATAATTTTTTTTTTTAGTTTTATTTAAAAGTTTTTGTCTTCATTTTTTTCTCTTTTTTTGTTTGTTGCCTTTTTTTTTTTTTTTTTTTCTTTCATTTTTTTTTTTTCCCTCTTTTTTTTTCTTT